TTCCGACAACAAGCCTTGGACGCTGAGCACTTTCTGAAAACCCCCAGGGCTGAGCCACACCGCTGGGCACAACCTTAACATTTTCCCAGCAGGGTGGGTGGGTGGGGAAGGGAGGGAGGCCGGGCCTTGAGCAGGAGTCCCAGGAAAGAGACTTGGGGAGCAACCAGTTACCAAGAGGCAAATGACTTACAGCTGAAACGAGTGAGAATTTATTCACAACATATGCAGGCCTAGGAACGTGATTATGCAAAGGGCTGGGGAGAGGATGCTTGAAACAGCAGAAACTTGGAAGACGTGGTTCCCACGAGCTGGGCTAGTCAGGGCTCAGCTCAGCGCGACTCCATCTCATCCCTTTGGCTCCCGTCATTCCTCCTCACCACACCAGCAAGCCTTGGAAAGGGGAGGGTGTACACCCTTTTCCTCAAAACCCAGTGTCGCAGGAGGCGAGCTCGGCCCTGGTCAGGGACACCTCCTGGGTGCTTCTTTCTAGAGAGAAGATCTGTATTAGCGGAGCTTCATATTCACACACCGACTTCCAGACTTTTCCAGTCGGTAAAGCTCTGGATTCTGTTTTTTTCTGCCCTAATCCTATGTATTTGTTACTGAACAAAGACTGAAAGGAAGACCTTGTCGTTCTCTCCCATATGCACTGGGCAACCACGACTGAGCTGGCCTTCAGGCCCCAGTGTGGATGGACGAGAATGCAGGTGGCCTGGGGTTTGGTGACAGGCTGTGTCTGCTGGTGACCAGCCATCTCAGGAACCGGGGGCTGACTTCCCTCCAGCTTCCACTAACCAGTCACCAGGACCCACCCGACCCCAAGCTTACACAGCCCCAACCCCGGCTGGCCTTGCCTCATGCGATGATTGCTCAGATGGGTCATCAGAACGTTCTAGAATTTTCTCCTAGTGTCCTCTTCTTCCTGCCCAGGACGAGCTCCCCGCTGTAGCCCTGAGGGCGGATCTTCAGCTCCACATAAGGAATGGAGAATTCATGTCCTTTCCACGGCTCCCAGTTCACCCCCTACATCAAAAATCCAACATCAAGAAGAGGAATGGCGACGGGGAGTGGTACATGCATATATATATGTATGCACATGGTAATTAGAATTCAACTATTTTAAAAATTACTAAAATTAGTCTGTCTGTGAAATTACAACCTGGGAAACCACACCCTCATTGCTCAGGGCCAGACAGAGCCCTCAGGGAAGTGAGGGTTGATCTAGGAACCTGCGCCCTCTGCTGGGAATCTGGGGTTAGACAGGCTGCGAGCCCCCTTGTGGTGTGGGGTGTGTGGGGGGCGTGAGCCCAGGAGGCACAGGGGCTCAGATAACAAGATCAGCCTGGCCAGCAATGATCACATTGTCTTTGCCTCACTCTTCCCCTTTCCAAAAAATTAAAGGCAAAAATAAACATATTAATTGGCCTATTGTGTGGAATCATTTTCAATTTAGGCTGTTTAGATATTAGCTCTGGGGTAACGAACAGCCCGCTGAAAACTAAATTTCATTTTATGTCTTCTGACTGGAGAGCACAATATTTAATTCACTTAATAACCTCGCAACCTGGCCAATAAAGAGCCCAGGTGACCAATTCTGTGTGTTTTAATTTGTGAGGTAAATAATAAACAGGAAATAAACGCCCTGCCGACTGTGAGCAGCACATTAACCAGATGAATGTCCTTTATTAGCAGACACGGGCCTGGTTTGGGGCCCGCTGGCTGCTCATTGCAAACAGCTGGTCTCTGATCACAGGCGTCCCTGGGTCGGGCCACAGCCTGCCACCTTGGTGCTGGGGCCCACCCGCCTCGGCTTCCCGGGGGCACCTTTCTTTTTCCTGTGAAAAATCACCCCAGGATCTGGATCAGCCCTGCTACTGCCGGGCCAAAGCAATCATGTCACGGGGCTTCAGGTGTGCTAGTCCTTACAGTGCCATTGGCGAGGGGTGTGTGGGGGCGGGTCTTCCTGGAGGCCAGGATCCGACTGGGATGGAGGTAGAAAGCCAGGAGGCACTCCGAGAGAGTGCATGGAGGGCACGGATTAATGCTGAGAAGGGACAAAGGTGCGATGATCAAGAAGCTGTGAGGAAGCAGGCAGGAGACTCCCATAGCCGGTGAGGAGTCAGGGCAATGTTCACGGGTCACGGAAGCTCGAGACACTGCGGATGGGAAAGTTTCAGAGCCAAGAGAGGACAGTGGCTGTGAGGATGTGTCTCCGCACACTGAAATGGGGAGGTGCTCAGCACAGAGCTCTGGGCGGACTGGCTGGTTCTGGACAAAATGGGCCCAGAGATGGCTCTGAGCTCGGGCAGAAAGGACTTGGTTTCCCTGGTGATCCAAAGACTTGAGAAAAATAGCCCTGGTTTACCTGGGAGAACTAGTTGAAGCCCTACACCCCAATGTGATGGTGTTGGGGGTAAGCAGAGTTAGATGAGGCCATGAGGGTGGGTACCCCCAGGTGGGACTGGTGCCCTTGTAAGAAGAGGATGAGAAGCAGAGCTCTCTGCACCGTGAAAAGGACAGGGCTCTACCAGGACCCGAGCCTGCCTGCACCTTGATCTTGGACTCCCAGCCTCCAGAACAGAAACAAATGTCTGTTCGAGCCCCGCAGTCTATAGTGTTTGGTGATAGCAGACCAAGCTGGGTAAGACCATGTCCATGTAGGAACTCATCTAGTGAGATGGAGCAGGACCCACATTGTATGTGAATATTCTGAATGGGCAGCCTGGGCTCTCACCGACCGGTGTAAAGTGTGGGGCACTGGGGAGGGGTAAGCAGGTGGGCAGGCAGGCCCTGACCCCAAGACCATGGAGCCTGGAAACAAACTCCTGCCCTGACTGGGAGCCTCAGAAGGAGAAGGCAGACAAACCTGCCTGGAGGGAGTCACTTGGGGAACTGAATGTGGGCAGAGGCAGTCACCTACCTCACTGTGCTTGGTCTCCCCGTATCTGCCATTGGGGTTGGCCAGGTGGCAGTTCTTGTACCACCAGCCGCCATGGTGCGTCAGGGCACAGTTGCTGAGGGCGATGTCGTTGTCTCTGTCAAAAGTTGTAAACTTCCACCCGTTGTGGTAAGTAAGAGCATCCCCTGCAGGGAGAAGATGTGAGCGGTGAGAGGCCATGTTCACCACCCAGGGGTGGAGGACTTAGCAGGAACAAATCTGGCATGAAAACACCAAGGACCCAGTCCATTATGCCACAGGTCCTCTTTCCGGGTCTGCCACCCAAACTCCAGGCCTCGTCCTCCAACAGCCTTCATAGCACGCTCTTTAAAAGCGTCCCGGTCCCATGAAATAGCCATACCCCCAAACAAACTCATGACTCTTCCCATAGCACCTGACCACCCCCTCCCAACCTCCCGGTCTCTGCTCAGCTACCCGCCCATCCTGGAAGCCCCTGAGCCACTTCCAAAATCCCCTGTACCCTCATCACGCCCTTCCTCCTGCAGGTCACTTGGACGCCCTCCCCACCAGGGCCACCGGGGCCTGCTCTCCTCTCTGGGTCTGATCCACACCGCAGCCCTCCTAGCCCTCCCGAGGCTTAAACACCCATCCTCTCAGGCCTCACGTCCTATTTCCTGCCACACGATGTGAATTTCTCCCCCTGGCTTTGCAGACCTGTAACTTGGCCGTTCCCGATGCACAATCTCAGCCCACTGTCCCCACAGGCAGCTTCCGTCTGTGGAGCGCACAGGTCCAGCCTTGTTCATGCCTCTCTCACCGCTTTCTCCCTGCTCTCCATGGTTAAACGCTAACCTATCCTCGAAGCCCAGCTCAGCGGTCCTGAGGAGTCTCCTCCCTCAGCCTCCCTCACACCTCCTGCCACACACCGGAACTTCCGCAGCTCTCTGGGCACAGCACACAGGCTCATGCTCCATGTCATCGTGTCTGGAAACCTGTAATTACTTCACTCACTTTTCTCCTATTTCCCCATCACATGTGTGGTCCTTTTATAAGTTTACTTTTTAATTCAGCTCACAAAAGGCAGTGAGGGCCCATATCGATCCCAAGCTTAATTAAGTGCTGTGTTTATGATAATAAACATATTATATCTGGTCTCTGAGTTTACCAATCACCTTCACAAACAAGCCTTTGGGGTGGGGTGGGCACCTCCTGGTCCCACGAGGAAGCAAACTCACAGACGTTAGAGTCCACGGGCTCATCCAGCGGCCACCCCTCCAGCTGGTCTCCTCCATGTCACCGTGTCACCAGACTCCCCCCTCCGCCCACCGCATGGAAGCTCTCTGGGTCTCAGGAACTGTTCTTACAACATAAAGCCTCCCTAGGATTCTGCAGAAAGGTCCTGCTGGCAATAGCTTCACTGAAGCTCACCTACCGTGCTCCATGCTAAGCACTGGGAAATAAGAGCAAAGGCAAAATGCATGTGACTTTTTTAAACACTAAGTCCTAAAACCTGAAATTTTGCACCAGCAGTTGGCCACTTCAGATCACAGTGTGTGTTCAGCCTTCTGCCATTAGGGGTCGCTGAGCAGACCACATTAAGAAGGCCTGTGGTCTTTAGAATACACACCGATTTCCCTCCTCAGCTCAGTCCTTTCTGGGTCCTGGACTCCCCTGTGCCTGGGGAGCCCCTTCCTCCCTCCCAGCTAAGTTCTTCCCTCTCAGACCCGGCTCCAGCCCACCCGCCTGCAGAAGCCCCTGCACGCCTCAGCCCCACATACCACCTTCTCCACGCTCCTGGAGCTCTCATCTCCTGGCCCCTTGTTAGACTCTTTGCCAAAGTTACCTTCTATTCTCACTGACCTATTTCCATGTGAGTCTCAGGGGAGAGGCCATGTCTTATGCAGTCAGTCGATCTGGCTGGTTACACATTCCTACCTAGTTACACCAAAGTCAAAACATGCAGAAGCAAAAGCAGACCTACTTGTTAGGATTTTAAAAACTAGGAATATAGGCTTAACTATAACATTAAAACAATGACCACGCCTCTCTCTTAAATAAAATAGTCCAATAGCACTATCCCAGGATTAATTTTGTCATTTTCCTTCACAAATAAACACCAGAGCGCAGCCCACGGAGGGTGAGCCCCATCTCCACTGAACAGCTGTCCCTGTGTTGTCACCGCTGCATGTCACTGCGACCTACACGCCTAGTGCTGGCTCCGCACTTTGACCTTTCTGCCTTTAAGTAATAACACACTCAGGCAGCCCCTCTGAAGCCGAGTGGGAGGTGGGCAGCACCAGGGGGTGGCGGCTCAAGGTGTGATTCCTCAGTGAGGGGGCAGAATCCTGATGAGGGTACAAGAGGAGGGTTTTTACTGGCTGGGGGTGCACGGGGGGCATGTCCACGTATAATGTTCTGATCTTACAATGATCAAGGACTGCTTTAAGAACCTTGTGTACCCTGACCCCCTGCTGGGAGCAGGGCCTCATGTGTCCATGAGAACCGTGCACCTTCGCAGGACAAACTTCCACCCCCAGATCCGTGGCACACGGCAGCCCAAGGCGTGGACACAGGGCACGCGGCCTCATGGTCTGTCAGGAACACTGCACGCACCTGCTGTGCCTCTGTACTTCCCCACCGTGAGCCTGTACCGCTCCTTGCTGGAGGCCACCTGGAAGAAGTCGTACACGGCATAGGCGGACTCGTTGGCGGTCTGCAAGTCCACTCTCACCTCGTACCGGGTGGGGGTCCCAGTGGTGAGGTTGTGCAGCTTGTCGAGTCCTAGAAACAAGGAATTCCAATCACCAAACGTCACCTTAGCCTTCACGTCCTCTGCTAATGGGGCCTCCCCCTGCTTTCTCTCTCAGGGGCTCATTTCCTCCTGCTGTTATTTCTCTGGTGCAGTCGCGCTATTGAGTGTGGAGGCTGTGTCCTCCGGGAGGGCAAGGTGCAGGTACTCCTGGGGTGAGCCTGCCCCACCGGCTCCATCCCTGAGGCACCAGCGGTTTACATTCATTGTCCTCTTATCTCACAGCTGGTGGAGACCAACCACTCACTGACGGTCTCCTACCCTCCCAGGCACTGAGCATCCAGACTGTGACTTTTTAATTTTTCATCTCCCAGTGGACGCTTCCGGCTCCCTCACTCTCCATGAGCATCTGCTGGAGCACAGAGCAGAAGGAAGAGAGAGAGCGAGCAGGGCCCCTAATGGCTGGCAGAACGTGCAGCACTTCTGGGGTCAGGGTGGCCTCCTCACAGTAGCCAGAATCCTCATCGATGGCTATTTTCTAATCCTTTGGTTCTCAAGGGGAATCTCCCCTGCACCACCCAGCCTTCCTGATTCTCAGAGTCCGTACCGAACCAGAACTCCTTGGTGGGGTCCCCGAAGCCCTCCACATAGGTCCGCCAGCGCTTGAAGAAGTCCAGCTGCCCGGTGTTCCGCCGCTGGAAGACCTGGAAAGGGAGATGGCGTTCCCTCTGATGCACTCAGCAGCCGTGACTGAGAGAGAGGGACAGGAGCGGGGGTGGGGGACCTGGAAAGGGAGCTGGCCCTGAGGACAGACAGAGGCAGCGTGGCAGATGTGGTGATAGAGAGGGAGGACATCAGAGCAGTTCTGTGGTTCTGGGAAGTCTGCATGGAGACAAGACTGGACGGGCAAACAATGACACCAGTTAGCTCTGCTGTTCTCTTGCCCCTTCGCTCCAGTCCTTCTTCAGATATGCCCCATTCCCTCATCCCCTCATTGCTCCTTCATTGATTCACTGACATAGCAATCTTTTACTGAGCATCTGCTAAGTGCTGGCTGCAGGGCAAGTACGTAAGATGCCACTTATGGATGTGAAAGTTCACATAGCTAGGTGTTTGGGGACTGATGCCAGGATAAAACACTGATCCCCTCACCCTTCCATTGGAAAGTTTGAGGATACCAGCTCTACTGAGTCTATTCTCCAAAAAGCATTTCTTAACACTCTGAGGCTCATGGTCAGTTTCCTAGCACGGAGACTGTTCCAGTCCCTTCCCCGGGACTATGCGTCACGGACAGTGGAACCCTAAGGTGGATGTGGCACCGATGTTAGTTCCACAAACATCACATCAAAATGCATGCCCAGTAACAAGGTCAGGCTCAAATCCCGCCCCAGGACAGATGCATTACGAACGCATTTGGTCCCTCCCGCCAATCAATGAACACAATGCCCAAGTGTGACCGGAGCTAATCTCTTTTCCTTGTTAGGAAATTCTCCAGCTTGGCCAGGGAAACTCTGAGCAATGGTTCCGACGCTCTCCGCATCACTATTTAGACGAGACCCAGTGCTCTGCTTGCCAGCTGTGTCCTTGAGCAAGTTAGTTAACCTTGACAAGCCTCACTTCTCTAAACCATTAGACCAAGGTGGCCCATTTGTCATGCTCTTAAATGAGGCTTCAGCAAGGTCAAGAATCATAATAAATTATACAGTATTGCCCATGCTGGCTCAGTGGTTGAGCATTGATCTATGAACGAGAAGGTCACAGTTTGATTCTGGTCAGGGTACATGCCCGGGTTGAGGGTTTGATCCCCCATGTGGAGTGATGAATGATTCTCTCTCATCATTGATGTTTCTCTCTCTCTCTCTCTCCCTTCCTCTCTGAAATCAATAAAAATATATTTTAAAAATAAATCATAAAGTATTGAGGCCAGAGCCTGGCATATAAGGATATAAGTTATTATATCTCAGTAAGTGTTGGTTTGCATTTTATTACATCAGATTCCCAATGAACTAACCCACAGGGATCATGTGGACGTCTTGATCAGGAAGCCTTAACTGACTCACTGAGGATCACGTTCCCACTCTAGGAGGTGAGCTAGTTTAATGAACTATTCTGGGAAAACAAGGGCCCCTTAGCACAAATGTCTCGGGGGGAATCTTTTCTGTCTGGTTGTACACTCCAGCTGTCCGGGTACTCTACGACTTACTTGATGTCCTGAACAACTAAACTGGAGAAAAAAAATAAAAATCTCACTTAAATGAATGCCTGTGGAAAGAGCCTCACACGCGGCCCTTAAAACTTGCAAGATGGAAAACAAAGATGGAAATATCTGAGCCACGTAAGTGCTCCCTGGGTTCAAGGCCCTCTGCCTGTGCATGAGATTGGGCTCAGCTGCCGGGGCTGGTGAAGAACCTCCGTAGAAGGACTTGAGAGTTCAACTGCAAAGAGCAGTGTACTAAGGTCATCTTTCAGTGACAAATAGACTCTTGAGCCCAAAACTACGGAAACCACCAGTGAGAGGTTTGATGGAGAAGTTTTCAGGTCCCTACGTGTCATCCAGGGTGTGCTGGCTTTAAGGAGGACTCTACAGCCTCTCAGGCCACGTGTCACCTTAGGAGTCAGCCAGAACACACAACCTGGGCCTGGGGTTAGCGAGAATGCAGAGCCATTTTCTCGGGGTCCTCTGCATGAGCAGGATGTAGGAGGCAAGCTCCTGGATCTGTTTGGTTCTCTTGTGGTTCTTGATTGGGTACAAGAGTGCTGGACACATAGTAGGCACTCAAATATCTGAGGAAAATTCATGGGTATTCCCAGGCAGACACACTGGCAGACCTCTCTCTGAAGGCTGCCCAAGACAAACGCCTCCTTCCCTGGCTTTCAAAAAAGGCCCACTAGGCGGTACAACCATCCTGCCAAAGCTGATTATGGGCTCCAGGGCAGGATGCTCCGAGCTACAGCAGGTGCAGCCTGTGGGTCTGGTCAGGTGGAAGACCTCCTATGATGCCTTCTGCTCCCGTATTTGTAAAGATCCATCAGGAATTTGCCCTTCCAATCCAATTACTGCCTTTCAGCCATCGGAGGCAGCTGTGCGGATAATAAGTTTTCTCTGTTGCTGCTTATCAGATGGTATTATTTTATCCGTGGCTGCTCAAGTGTCTTTGGTTTCCCAGACCCCTGAGCGGGTGCATGAATGAATGCGGTTTGAGTGGGATGGGCTCAGCTTTCTGCTTCCCTGAGTGGCGGGTGCACAGCGGGCAAGTGCGTGCTGGTCTGGAGCAGCGAGAGCCTCTCTCTGCTCAGGCGCAGGGAGCAGGGGCTGGGGAGACAGAGGATCAGACCGCAACCTTCCAAGGCAGCGCCTCAGATCCCTGGACCAGGCTGCCGCCATCAGAGATGGGCCATGTGCTCTCAGCAGACAACGGGCCAAGAGAATAAAGCCTCACTCAGACGGGGCACGATCGAAACGTCGCCACGTGTCCTATCCTCTCAAATCAAAGTCCGGACGGCCTTGCCTCTGTACTGAGGAGCCAGGATGAGGAACCCAGACAACAGTCTCCAGGTCAGAGGGCAGAGCCCCCAAAGAGGTCATGTGTTTCAGGTGACCTGACATGACCCCAGGAAGACCAATGATCGAGGAGGAGGCTGGAGTCCTGAAATCCGGTTCCCACTTTGTCACTAACTCATGTGACTTAGCCTGGGCACATCCCCTTGTGGACCTCACTTTACTTATCTGTAAAATCAGAATAATCATCTCAGTTACTCTAAAGGTTTTGTGTAAGGGTCATGCTTGTGTGAGGGTCATGTTTTTTGTTTTTTATAAATATATTGTATTAATTTCAGAGAGGAAGGGAGAGGGAGAGGGAGATAGAAACATCAATGATGAGAGAGAATCACTGATCGGCTGCCTCCTGCACGCCCCCTACCGGGGATCAAGCCCGCAACCTACGCATGTGCCCCTGATCTGAATCGAACCTGGGACCCTTCAGTCCACAGGCTGACGCTCTAACCACTGAGCAAAACCAGCTGGGCATGGGCCATGTTTTGTATGAGGGTTATACTTATGTGAGGCTCACAGTTGTGTGAAGGTCATACTTTGTGAGGGTCATGTTTTGTGTGACTCACGATCCAGCCGCCTCCGTCCGTGTCCATGTCGCAGTACACCTGCAGGGGCCGGCTGGCGTCCCCGTGCAGGTAGATGGTGTACAGGCCGCTGGCGACGTTGCTGTTCTGCTGGACTTGACTGCAGTCCGAAGGGTGTGGGAAACGGGCACCAACTAGGAGCCGAGCAGAGGGCAGCATCATTAGAAGGGCAGCGGGCCAGGCCCTATTTTACGTTAATTCATTTTGCTTGGGAATGATTCATAACCTACTACTTTGCTCCTTCCAACTCTTCTCTCACATTTCACTTTTCACTCACTCTGCTCTCATCAAACCCTCCAGATGTACTAGAAACAAGGTCAACTTCACATCTCTTCCTCCCCAGCCCAACTGCACCCAACGTTTCGCTCCTCTCCTTAGTCTCTCCACCAGGGGAGGGACCTCTCCTGAACCTGTACCCTACCCATTCCCCTGCTAGAGAACCCACAGCTCTGTGGCCACCGCCGCTGCGGACACCCCTCCCGCGGATACCCCTCCCACGGACACCCCTCCCGCAGACACCCCTTCCTCGGACACCCCTCCTGAGACTCTCCTGGCCTCTCCCAGGCTCGGCCTCTAAGATGTCCTGTTCAGAGAGCAGGAGCCCACGAACCTGTGGAAAGGGCGATGGACACACTCCTGCTGCGGCGATCACCCTTGTATGCCACCAAGGAGACAGGGTAGGTGACGCCCTGCTCAAGGCCTTGCAGCTCAAACCTCTGGTCCCCGCGTCCGAGCTGCACCTCCTACCACACAAAGGAGATGGGAAGTGACATTCAGTGTATCGCCCCCAGCAGCCTGGGCGCCATCACATCCCCTGGGGCCGATGCCAGCAGCTCTCAGGCAGCAGTGCTTGTCTCTGAGGGCTCAGTGGCAGCCCAGGATCCCAGTGACTCCCAGCCACTTCTCCTGAATGGCCTCCTGCTGGCACAGGAGCTGGGAGCCAGCATGAGACAGCAGCAATGTGGGGGGAGGGAGACCCACCAGTTTCCTGGGACCTCTGCCCTCTGGTCCACACTGGGGCACTCCACGCCAGGCTGAGAAGTGAGGAGGGGAGGTGAAACCATCCCCATGTCTGCAAGGCAGGGAGATGGCTGGTTTCTCAATAGGCCTCCTTCTGAACCTGTGTTTCTGCCTCTAGCAGGGCTGTCCTAAGAAGTCACTGAAGCAATAATTACATCAACGTGCCTTTCCTTTTTCCCTCCTCCCCTTTCTTCCTCATCAAGGAGAGAGGACAACAATTTTCCATCGGAACAAATTTTGAAAATGTACTGGCCTTCCGATTCCATGTGGGAAGTATCATCTTTAAAATAAGGGTTAATAATTCATTCAATAAATCTTGATTGAGCAGCTACATAAGTGGTAGGCGCTCAACAAAACAGACAAAAAGTCCCTTCCTCATGGACCTAACACTTACGGGGGAAGATAAACAAAAAACATGGGGCCGATGTGGGTCAGCAAACATGCAGTGGTCAGCTGGGAGCAGGCACAAGGTAATTCTACAAAATGAGACCCGATGTTCACAGGGACTGTGTCTCGCATTGGCCCTTGCACACAGCAGGTGGTCAGTAAGGACCAACTCATTTATCAGCAGGTTGTCATGGGACCAGCAATCAAGCTGACCCCAGTTAGTTGCTTCATATGGGGCTGGCATGGGCACCATGAGAAGAGGCAGGAGCATGCAGTACCTTAGTGGTGCCATCTGGGAACTGGTAGGTCAGAATGTAGCCATTGATCTGAGCCGAGGGGCGTGTCCAGGTCAGTACCCCCCCAGACTGGGTAACAGCAGACGGACGAAAGTTTCTGGGAGGGTCGATGTCTGTGTATCAAAAGTCAGGCAGTTATTATCACTAAGGTAATGGAAATAATTTTTTAAAAAAATATCTTTTATTGATTTTTTACAGAGAGGAAGGGAGAGGGATAGAGAGTTAGAAACATCAATGAGAAACATCAATCAGCTGCCTCCAGCACCCCCCCTATTGGGGATGTGCCCCCACCCAAGGTACATGTCCTTGACCGGAATCGAACCGGGGACCCTTCAGTCCGCAGGCCGACGCTCTATCCACTGAGCCAAACCAGTCAGGGCTGGAAGTGATTTTTGAAGTATTACATTTTCTGCCCACATACCCTCCCATGTCTTTTCCTTCACGCAGGCTCTCTTCTTCCCTGCGACCAGCCCGTTGTGACCTTTGTTTCCAAAAGCATAGGAAGGACAAGGATTAAGGAACTGGTGCTGGGGTGAGTTACCTCCCAGATGGAGTGACCCTGGGGCCCATTTCCCAGCAGACCCACAGAGGGGGGTGGGTAGGAGCAATCTAGACCAGAGACTACATCAGCCGTGGGCAAACTACAGCCCGTTTGAAATGAATAAAACTATTGAAAAAAAAGACCGTACCCTTTTATGTAATGATGATTACTTTGAATTTATATTAGTTCACACAAACACTCCATCCATGCTTTTGTTCCGGCCCTCTGGTCCAGTTTAAGAACCCATTGTGGCCCTCGAGTCAAAAAGTTTGCCCACCTCTGGGCTAGATTCAGCCCCACGGTGGTGTGGGAACGATAGGTGAGTTCAGATCCAAAAGGGCCCTGCACACGGAAACCAGGGCATCTCAGCAAACAGCTGCTGGGAAGGATGACGGAGTGCAGGGTGCCCCCAGGATGGGCTCCCCGGCTGGGTATCTGGAAACCACACAGCTTTACATCAGCCCTGGGGAAGGAGCATGACCCTAAATTCACTGAGATTCATGTCCAACAAGCAGTGTAGGGCTTATGATGGACATTAAGTTGACAGAGAAATATAAAGTCCTATTTCTTACACATCTAAGTGTGTGGCCTTAGATGCCTGCTCTGCACAAAAAGAAGCAGGGATGGAAAAGAGAAAAGAGAAAACGCAGAGCTCTCCCTCTAGTTCCCAGTCACTCTCCCACACAAATGCCAGTGGGAACACGGGATGTGTGCATGGTGGACCAGAAAAACTAAAGCAAAGTAATTGGTCAGAAGACTATGTTTTCCCAACCAAATAAGATATGAATGGAAATTTGCAGTTTGAAAAGTCATTATAGAAGGTGATTTTAATTTCGAAGTTCCCAAAAAAGATGTCTCCAGGCTATTTTATACCCAGTAGCATTTCGGCTGAGAACTGAATTGCAGTATTTTACTAGAAATCAGGCAGCTGTTGTTTTAGGATGTTTTGACAAATGTAGAATTTCTGCAATGTCAGCTTGATTTGACTTTCTAAAGCGTAACATCTGGTATCGATTTTAGTGTCCTCATCCCACGGAAAGACTGAATTTCCCGCTTTGAAGTCAGGGATGGAAAGATTGATTTATTTTTAATATATATATTTTTATTTCAGAGAGGAAGGGATAGGGAGAGATAGAAACATCAATGATGACAGAGAGTCATTACTTGGTGGCCTCCTGCAAGCCCCACAATGGGAATTGAGCCCACAACCCGGGCATGTGCCCAGACCAGGAATCGAACCATGGCCTTCTAGTTCTTAGGTCAAGGCTCAACCACTGAGCCACGCTGGCCAGGAAAAACCTAGCGATTTAAATATCTTAGACTGGCTCTGCCACCTCTGTGACTGCCCACCATCCGGGTTATGGACTTGAGGTGTCTGTCTTAGTCACATGTCCATGAAGCAGAAACATGGTAATATTGCTGCCTTTAAAAATGGGCAAAGACGGAAGCAGAGAGAAGGTAACAGAAGAGAGGAAGGAAGGAACAAGGGAGTGAGGGAGACAGAGAGGGTGGGAGGAAAGAGGAAAGTATTGGTTGCCTCTATGAGCACTTTTTATTTTTATTTTTAATCCTCACCTGAGGATATGTTTTTATTTATTTTAGAGAGGAAGGGAGAGGGGAGAGAGAGAAACATGGATGTGAGAGAGAAACATCGATCAGTTTTCTTTTATATGTGCCCTGATTCAGGATCGAATGACTGGGGATCAAACCTGCAACCTGGGTATGTGCTCTAGCCAGGAATCGAATCCACGACCTTTTGGTGTACTAGTGTACGGGACAACTCTCCAACCAGCTGAGCCACACCAGCCAGGGCTGGAGAGCAGCACTCTTATTAGGGAGCCTGGGATGTGGACAACTGTTTTTCTTACTATAGAACCTCGGTTAGTTTGAAAATTTTTATATAACTATGGGTCAGTTTTTTTGGTTAAAAACTCCTATTAATTGTAATAATAATAATAATAAAGAAATTCAAATCACTTCTAACTCCAGTGGCCACGGGTATGCATGAGGCCGCAGAGGGGATGGCCTTGCCCAGACTAAGGAGGCCCGTGGACCTCAGGGTGGGCACAGCGCTCTTCTCGGGACCCCCAAGTCCTGATCGCCACGAGGCTCAATGAGACCAGAGGCCCATCACACATAAAATACAGGCATCGGACCCCCGATCACCAACTGGAGGGGACAGTGAGAGAAGACGCTCCACCGCGGCCCCATCTGAAAGAGAGAAACAGCAGAGGCGCCTGGCCTCCCCGTGCTCTGAGCTGGACTGAGGCCCAGCAGGGCTGTATGGGGGCGCGTGGGAGCATGAGAGCTGGCAGGGCAGAGCGGTCAGGGAGGCGGCCTTTGCACAGCCATCTTGGACAGTCACGCAGTCTTACTTTGACACTCGTTCCTCTATGGCCATATTCATCTGAACCATTATGTCAACATATGACCTCAAAAAGGTAAGAAGGGAACCCTCTGAAGAATGTCCTCAGTGACACAGTCTTCCCTGCTCCCCTCCCCACATCTGATACGTGTGAAGGGTTCCTGTCTGGGTCCCTGGCAGTACCTGTCAGGGCCTTGGTGTCGGCCTTCTGGCTCTCCCGGTCCCCCTTCTGGGCCCACACGTGGACCGTGTACTCCACGCCCGGCCTCAGGCCCGTCAGGATGGTGCTGCTCTGCTCCTTCCCCACCGGGATCTCCCTGGTGTCTCCATCGGCGGAGGTGTAGCGCACCGTGTACCTGTCGATGACGGCCTGCACTGGCTCCCAGGAGATGGTGGCCGTGGTCTCTGTCACCCGGTCGGTCACCAGGTTTTGGGGACTGTCAATTTCTAAAAATTTTTAAATTTTTTAAAAAGAGAAGGCTGACTTTTAGAGCCAGGGGAGAACATCCCAGCACCCAAGCACCCCAAACTCTCCATTCAACTTCTTTCACACAAAACAATTCCATCGACAGAAGTGAAAAGGCCCTGACTTCCATTTTCCAGAGAAACAAACCCCTGGACATTAAAACTGGGAGGAATTAGATCTTAATTGAGTTTAGCAATATGGAAATTTTCTTCTGGTTCCCACAGGAATAGCAATGGAAGTCACCTGAGCAGCAAGAGGAGTTGCCCCAAATTCTATTGAAACAACTTCCTTCACTATCCTCATGGTATATAGTTAACTTCTTTCTCAGAATTTGAGAGCTGAGAAGTCATATCTTCCAACTTTCTTGTCTAATAAGAGGGGAGGAGAATGGCAGCCCAGAGAAATGAAAGACTTGTCCAAGGGCCTACTGTTTTCTTGTGTTAAAACCGAGACAACAATTTTTTTCTTGTGTAAAAGCCCTGTTCATTCTGAACTGGGAGCCCACCACCTTCTCAAGGCCTTTTCTCCTATTCACGTACCCTCTCTCCTGCACCATCAGTCTCTTCTCTGCCGCCATCGCTTCTAGACAAGCAAGCTCTAGGACTCCCATCCCTCTGCACCCCTTAACCTACACACTTCTCAGGAGGACTACACGCCTTATGTCTCACCTTCCATCACTCCTCAACAAAGCCCCACACTTTCCCGTATCCCATCACTAAAATTGTACGTCTAGGTCACCAACAAATTCCACGTGGCCAAGTCCAGTGAACAGCATCCTCACCTGACTACTTCTGAGCAGTGTCTGGCAGAGCTGATCCTCACTCCCCTTCGTGAAACACTCCCAGGTCTGGGCTTCCATGACTGTACCCTACCCTGGTTTCCCAACGCCCTGACTCATCCTCAGAGTCTCCTCCATCAGCACCTGAAACTGTTGGGCACCAAAGTCTCCTCTACACGCCTCCCTAGGTCAGTGGTCGGCAAACTCATTAGTCAACAGAGCTAAATATCAACAGTACAACGACTGAAATTTCTTTTGAGAGCCAAATTTTTTAAACTTAAACTAATAGGTAGGTACATAGTTATTAACTTAATTAGGGTACTCCTAAGCTGGCCTTTGCTAAAAACGTCCTCAATCTGATTGAGGTACGTTTGCTGAGGTCGACCCCTTCCAACTCTCCCATCCACATTCGTCTTGTATACTTGTTTCGTCTATCTCCTTTCTGAAAACTGACTTCTGCGCATGGGCCATGAGTTTCAATCGCACTGTATATGCGCACCTGCACGTGGTATTTTGTGGAAGAGCCACACTCAAGGGGCCAAAGTGCCGCGTGTGGCTCGTGAGCTGCGGTTTGCTGACCACTGCCCTAGGTGATCTCACCCATACCCACAACTATAAATGCCAACTGAAAGCTTCTGGCTCTTCAATATCAATTCTGAGCCCCCACCTATACCTACAATTGCTTATCTACCACAGTGCCTGGCCGGTATTAGACACTCAATGAATATGTGTGGAATCAAAAAATAAATCACTCAATTAACCAAAATAGGTCACAAGTATCCAAGCTTACATATCTAAACATCTTCATGTTCCTCCCCAAAGCCATTTACCTCTCAGAAAATGATGCCCCAACAGAGATCATACTTCATCCCTCATTTTCATCCTGCCCCACATCTCACCCAACAACACACCCTGTCATCACCTCCAAAATATGTGCTCAGAGATCCCCGTTTCTCTACCTTACTGCCATCACCCGTGTGCCAATAATCATTGTCTCTCACCAGACTTTTACCATAGCCTCTTTACTACTCTTTCCACTTCCACCTGCTATCTCTTTCATTCATTCATCACACTATGGTCTGAATAACCTTTTTAAAATGAATATCACATCATGTCACTCTTCCAATAAATATAGCATGTGGTCCTGTATGATCTGCTTCTTGCCTCTTTTCACCTCATCTTGGGCCACTTTCTTTCTCGCCCTCCATGCTCCAGCAACACCAACAGCCACTCAGTTCTTCAGCACTGCATGCTGTTGCAGCTTAGAGCCATCACACATACTGTTCCCTTGGCCAGAAATGTCTAGTTTTCCCCACTATCCATTCTCCTCTCCTTCTATAAGCATACTATCCAAAGATCTCTCTGTACTGATGGAAATACTCTTTTATCTACATTGTCCAATTTAGTAGCCATTAGTCACATGTGGCTATTGATCATTTGAAATGTGGCTAGTCCAACTGAGGAAATATTTTTTTATTCTAGTTTTAATTCATTAAAATGTAATATAACCACATGTAGGTTAGAAAGGACAGTATAAAAGAAGTTTACATTTGGCATGTGGCCATCCAGTAAAAGGCTTCATTTCCCAGCTTCCCTTGTCTTGAGGTCTGGCACCATGTCTGGAGTTTGGATCTGACCAATGGGATGTGAGAAAAACTGACACCTACAATGTTCCTGTCATGTTCTTTCCTTTCCTCATCCCCCTTCCACAAGCTGGAGTGAGGTTATGTGATGACAATATAGATGAAGGCAACTCCTGAAGGATGACTGAGCAACAATATGGAAGAACCTGGGTCCTCTGCCACACCAGGCCTGGCCTACTTGCACTCTGACCATTCCACAAGAAAGAGATGAACTTCTTTCTTATTTAAGCAACTGTTATTTGGATATTTCTGTCAACATTATTAACTATTACTCCATACCATCTAAGAAATATCCCTACCCTGTCATTCTTTATACCTACACCATGTTCATGTCCTTCACAGAACTTATAATTTACAATAGAAATTTGTTTGTTTGCTGATGGTCCATCTTTCCCACTGGATTTCAAGATAATTAGAATCATATAAAGGAATCATATTTGTTTTGTTCACCACTATATCTCAAGCCTGGCACTTAGAAAATTTAATTCATGTAGAAATGAACATAGAGCTCCAGTTGTCATGGACAATACTTGTTCTTTCAAACTACACACCATCTATTAAGTCAAACCTATATAAAATATCTTGCCACAGAACACTTCTTTAATCCAGTGGTGTAGAAATTTTATATTGGTTTAACTTGTTCTCTATAATTGCCTATAACTGAGTAGCACAGTGGTTAATAACACAGGCTTTGGGAAAGAG